ATTGCCTTCTAAAAAATGCTATTTGCTTGTCTGACTTCCAAAAACTTTTAGACGCCCAGAATAAGCATGTGGACCAAGAAGGACAGACTGACACCCAAAATTGATCTGCTGGCTTATTCGTAGTCTGTGATTCAGGAAGTACTAAAGAATCAGAATATCAGTCAGGGAGTTCTTCTTTTTGAAAGTAAAAGATCATCAATGGTTGCATCCATGCCTCCTCCGTGCAAGTATCCATTATCCAGTCTCCGTTTTTTGAGAGCCATAACATTGATAAGAATACATTCTGTAATAATGACACCAGAGCAGTTTGTGTACATACTGAACAATTTTATTGGTTGTTTTCTGACGTTCATTTTTGTTTTGTTTCTTTTTTGAACGCCAATGCGGGTGGGTAACATGCCGCTGTGTGCGCCCGCTGGCTTTACAAAACACACAAGGAGAATATTGCTGTCCATATGCCTACCACCCTCACTCCTGCCACAGAGCTGGGTACGCCTGGTTTTTCGGCAGTTGAGTGGGGCGTAATACTGTAAAATGTGCAAGTGTAAAAAGACAGGAGATCAACAGAACATTGACGTGAACCCTTTCAGGGAACCAGTAGCATTGAAAGGGTTACCAGAAGTCACTAGCCCTGCCCCTACATCTCTCCTGCCCCAAAAATTCAGCACCTCTTAGTACATAATACCCTCTGATCGTCATTTGCTTCAGACGTATATACAACAAATGGGATGGATTTTAAAATTATAGGGACAAGAGAGAACAGGGAAGGAGTTAAGAAGATAGAAGACTGAGGCCTTGTTTTTCATGAAGAAACTTTAGTTGTGTTTAGATGGTGGTAAGATGTGTTTTCTCCTGCTGAACCATAAATATGTATTGTGCTGTCTCCCATTCACAGGACATATGCTCAGTAAAACAGTTTATTTACATACCAATGGAATCATTAATCGCAAACTTGATCCTTGTACAGCTAATAGCTTAATATATATATTTATATTGTATTTATAAATAACAGAGACTTTCACACCACACACTGTGCGAAAGGCCTGTGGAACATTGTGCCACGTACAGAAGCCAAGAGGACAGTGAGTGCAGTGTGGTACGCATACAACTGGCAGACTATGGCATGCTTTTGTATACAGTACCTTTCAAGCATTGCAGAATTTAATACATACATGCACTTTGCAGAGCCCTGAAGGTTATGGGAAGATAGGTTATTGACTTCTACCCTGATTTGTAGATGGAGTATCGGTAGTTGTTTTGGCAGCAGTGTTCCAAACTCAGACTATTATCACACTACAGTTTTCATTATCCATATCCAGGCCTATCTGGTTGGGAATCAAGGTAGAGAGTAATTTACGATATATAACAAAAAGCTTGTGGACACCAGCCCATGGCACATGTTTTGAAGTGAGTCATTGGGAATGTTTCACCTTTCAGATAAAGAACATTTGCAAAGTGAGGTACTGATATTGAATAAGATGACCTGGCTCCCAATCAGTGTTCCAATTCAACCCAAAGGTGTTCAGTAGTGTTTAGTTCAGAGCTCTGTGTAGGCCACTCAAATTCCTCCACACCAACTTTTCAAGCTGTCTCTGTGAATCTGACAATGTGCTCAGAGGAACAGTCATACCGAAACAAAACAGGACCTTCACTAAACTGTTGCCACAAGGTTGGAAGCAAAGAATGATCTAAAATAGCTTTGTATGCTGCACCATTAACAATAACCTTGCATGGCTATGTGATTTAACAATGGCTAAAACATCTGCACTTAATCATTCTGCAGGGTTCAACATAATTTTGGCCATATACCATGTTTAAATAATTGCTATGCTATGGTAAGGCAAGCATTAATTTTATATCATTTTTAAAGGTCCTATCAAAAAATTAGATGGGGTTTAGTTTTGGAGAATTCTGGTTAGGCTGTGAATGCAGTACCCCAGGTTTAGAACATCATGGGGTTCTGATGTTAGCTTTTTCTGTTTTATATCTAAAAATAACTTAAATCTGGGAAATGCGGCTTCGGCTTTGAAATGAAAGGTTATCAGTCATTAAACAGCAAGTGGTTCTGTTATTGCCACTCCACATGTAGGGTATAGTATAGTAGAAAGAGTGAGAATCTTTAAAAAATATACCAGTCTCCAAAAAACTTTAAAATGTATGAATCAGTGAACTAGACCTCCAGAAAGCTGCAATGGCTGTGTGAAGTTTCTGGAATAACTTATAAGGGACCATGAAAATGCACAAAATCCACAATGTATAAGTCATTTAATTCTTAAGATGTCTACATTTTTGGTTAGATTTACTTTAATGCCACTTTTATTTACTTTAGAATTATTTACTTTAATGCCATTTTTATTTAGCGCCAGCAAAAGTTTTATTGTAAAACGTACATCAAGGAAATCTGTCATAAAATTATCAGTATTTTAAAATGATCTTCATCCCATCAATGATTTTTGTTAATGAGTTCAATGCTTGGAGGCAGTCATCATATTTAAATATCACCAAAACTAATAATAATTGAGCCTGTCAAAATACAATAAATGTGATCACCTCTTTACAGCAATGATGTTTTGTGCATGTGCCTGTGTAGTTAGTCTTAACAGTGAACATTTTAAGGGATGCACTGGGAAGGGGAAGTTGAGCACCAAAATCCTGGAAATGGGATGAATTTATGGAAAGGCCAAATCAGACCAGGCCAAAGGTGGTACAATGTAGGAGAAGCACAGCTTTTTCCCATTTCTTCATATTCTTATCCCATTTCTTTCTTTGGCGGTAAAGAAAAATAGAAACAGAATGTTCTATCGTACAGGAGAGTTCATTTTGTCGAAGTGTGCAGTCATGCAGATCAGTGACTGTAAAAAATGGCATGACAAAATAAACCAAGACAAATCAAGGAGACCGGGCTTGACCTTGAAAAGTTAATTTACCCTGCAATATGGCTGCTTTTATTAAAGGTTTTGTGAGAACTCGAAACCATTTATTCTCCATCTTTTTTTTTTTTGAGTATACACTAGAGAATGGGTGTGTGTTGCTTTCTTCATCAAGTGGGGCCATTATTTTCGACTCTGACATTTAGGCACTCTGCAGAGTGCTGTGTGCTTCTATATATATAGGCAAGAACATATGTAAACACTGGCGCAATGCTCTTGTGCTGCTGGGCACTCTTGTGTCTCTATCCACCATGCACAACACTGATCCACAGGCCAATCTTGCAGTTAGCAGTTAATAATTTAAACACAAAGGATTAACACCCAACCCCGAACTTACAAACCTTATAAAAATAGCCCCGATATTTCACATTATGCAACAGGACATGCCAATCCCCTCCTACCCACCCTGTGTACATCCCTCAGAAATTGTTCCAACCCCCCAAGAGCCGAATAATAGGGCACTGCCCTAAATAGGGGTTCAGTACAGAACACAGCTCCTCTTTTCAAACCTCTCTTCATGTAGCAGTCTGTAGTGTGTGTGCTGTATGTGAGTGTTTGTGTGTAAACATATGTAACCCCTTAAATACATTCAGCATTAAAAACCCTTAATATAATCTATGGAACCCCTTTCCTGCCCAGGAAGCTACACACAACCCTAGGCATTCAAGTACGGGTCTAGGATTCTTGGGTGGTGCAGCTAAGCAGGATTTCAGGAGTAGGGTTATCATTAAGCTAATAACAACTGTTGTGTCTTGCAATGTTCCACAAGAACCAGTGTGAACTCCCAACATCATGGTCAGTTAAACTATTACTCGATGGTAACCCAACTCCTGTGTGCTTTATTGCCCATCTCGGAAAGAGAGATGTCCCTGCTGCAGGCTCCATACTGGGTGGCAGGTGCAGGGTGGAGTCAGGGTCATCTTCTGGCCAGGCAGACAAGGAAAGAAGAAGGGCGGCTGGTTAGCTTTTTGGGATAATTCCTGGGGGGGTAAAGTGAGGGAGAAGACACATGCGAGAAAGAGAGAGAAAGAATGCAAAAAAAAAAAGGCGGATATAAAAAACCATGAGATAAAAGAAAAAAAATGGAAGAAAAAACAGAAGTGAGTTCATGAGAAGATGTGTTATAGAGGTGAAATGGCAAACAAACACATAGAACAGGAAAGGAGAACCATTAGTTTAGGAAGCTGGAACCAAGCAGGCAGCATCCAATAACGATTGTGCTCCGAGCTCTCTATATACATATTTATAGCTGTATATACATAAACATTCAGTATTCCGGCTATCAAATGATGCACTTCTATCTTTAGTACTAATACTGTAGGTACAAGGGTGTGCAGGAATATATACACACGTATATATGTATTTACATGGCAGAATAAATATATATATATGTATATGTAAGATAAATCCATAATTCATACTTCGGTATTATCTACAATCTGGCATGACATGGAGGGTGAAGGAGAACCCAAATCTCAGAGCTTATTTGTGCATTTGGCTCCATAATGGAAATGATGGTGCAAAAATGATTTGCAATTGACAAGGTGATGGTCTCATCCCAAGGCTACGAGAAAAAATCATTATCAATTGCACCTCATTGTATGTACATCAGGGTTCAATAATCTGCTGATCTTGAAATGGTGATGGAAAATACAGTCCCAGTGGTCAATGTCATTGTTGAAATATGTTCCATAACAAAAGATCATGCTGAGATCTGTAGATCCACAAAGTTTGGAAAAGCTACAGATTTCTAGCGTACATGTTTTCTGAAGACATACATAAGAAAATCACACCTTCCTGTCACTATAATACTACTACCACCTGTAAATCTCTGAAACTGTGACAGTATAAGTTCTCCATGGTTTTTTTTTTTTTTTTTAAAGTCCTTAATGGGTCATGTTGGGTATGTTCAAGCAGCACAAAAAAATGTCAGCAGAGTAGGCCCAAATCCTATAGTACCACTCTGTGACACTGCCATCTTGTGATCACTGAGTATATTGCAGGGCATACTCCCTGTGGTATCATTGGGCTTTAGTGACATCTTGAGGTCACAGCAGGAATATTCCTCTGTTATGTGCCCTGTTTGCTGGGAGAAGCAGTGACAGGGGTCTCCTGAGTGATGACGGGGCTGGTTTTCCTGCTTTTTTCCTTCCCGCTGGCTCCCAGGGGCCCCTGTTCCTTATTATCAGTCGGACGCTGCTTGCTGTGGGGCCCAGGGGCGGGAGAAGCGTGACCATTCTTCTCGTCTGAAAAAAGTTGTTTAAGTACGTCAAAGAAGTTACTGATTGGGCGGCCTAGAGATAGAGAGAAAAACAGGGAAGGGAGAGAGGAGGGGAAGGGTAAGAGACAGGCAGAGAGAGAGAGAGAGAAAGAAAGAAAGGTAGAAAGAAAGACAGAATGGAAGAGACTTGGGGAGAATTAAAGTATGCCCGTCACTTAAAGTGGAAGCAGCCAGTCTTTTCATTGTGACATCATTGATTTTCACTGGCTTCCTTGGTTGCATTCCTAATGATGTCACCAGTTTCTAGTAAATTGAATAGGTTTCTTTTTCAGGACCATGGCTACCTCCATGTGATGACAGGTGCACTTTACAGAAGGGATGAAGAAGAAACTGTGCGAGGGGTGAGATGCAGAGGAAGTGGTGTGAGCAAGAGTGATGAGGAGCAAACAAATTTGAATAATTAAAATACTGAACTGGTGAAAACAAAAAAAAGTAAGAGAAAATAATATTCTGCTATGTAGTATAGATACTAACTTGAAAAGCAACACTTGGGGGTTGATTTACTAAAACTGGAGACTGCAAAATCTGGTTCAGCTCTGCACCAGATTATTCAGGTACTTATGTACATTGGAAAAATCAGATCAGTCTTGCGCCTTGACATCCTCTACATCAGTGGTTCTCAACCTGTGGGTCGCAACCCCTTTGGGGGTCGAACAACCCTTTCACAGGGGTCGCCTAAGACCATCGGAAAACACATATTTCCGATGTGTAAAGAGCAGCTACTGTGTAGAAAGCAGCTGCTGTGTTGAAAGCAGCTACTCTGTTAAAAGCAGCTACTGTGTTGAAAGCAGCAGTATTGGAGGTAAAACGACACTTCATGAATTATAATTACTGGATAAATAATTTTATGGTTGGGGGTCACCACAACATGAGGAACTGTATTAAAGGGTCGCGGCATTATAAAGGTTGAGTACCACTGCTCTACATTATTACATTGTATGTTTGGACAGCCAACAACCAGATCTGTATAGGGAGGAGGCCGTCATGACCATACAGCACAGGTTACAGTACTGACTACCAAAGTGTGCTGCACTTCTAACCTGCACTGCATGTACATGATATTCACAATAGTGAATAGTGACCATCTTGTAGGTGTCAATGCACATTAGAACATAATAGTGTATAGGGAGCCAACCTACATCTTTTAAGAAACTTAGTGGCTGATTTACTAAAACAGCAATGAGCAAAATCTAGTGCAGCTCTGCATAGAAACCAATCAGCTTCCAGGTTTTTTTTTTTCAAAGCTTAATTGAACAAGCTGAAGTTAGAAGCTGATTGGCCACCATGCACAGCTGCACCAGATTTTGCACTCTCCAGTTTTAGTAAATCAACCCCTTAGGCTAGGTTCACATCTGTGCAGGTGGTGCCGCTGCAGATCCGCATGAAAATCCGTGCAGCCGCACCACCCGCACAGAGGAATGCGGACCCGCGGGCAGGTGCCATTAGCTCTAATGGCACGCCACCCACACTGGAAAGTGCAACCATACTGGGAACCGAGGTTCCCATTCGGGTTGCGTTTTCAGAAGAAGTACAGGGACTTCTTCTCTGCATGTCAAGGGCACGGGAGTCCATTCAAATGAATGGGCTCCTGTGCCCGCGCAAAACACAGCCCGCACGGCCGCATATATGTAGACCATGGCTTAGTGTGAAAAGTATCATTTAAATTCTGTTTAATCAGCATTAAATAATGTATTCACAAAATAAACAACCATTATCGTTCACAGAAAACTATTTTACTAATATTGTTGTATTGACAGATTTATATCCGAATTGTGTTTATAACTTTTGAATTGTCCTAATACATTTACAGGATAAATTAGTATGCGGACAGGGTGTACTAGGCTCTTAGTGTGGTTGGGCCGCATGGCGACTGCACTGACACTGTGGCTGTAATTGGGCAATTTTTTTACTTTATTTAAAACTGAACTCCAGGCAGGTATTAAATACCACTATTTATTTATTTCTTAAAAACTTATTTTTTTATATACCTAGTTTAAGTAGCTGGATCTGTTTTTTATCGTAGCTGACTTTACAGTATATTCCTGTACGGTGGGATTCAATCTGGATGAGATGGAGTCACCATTATAAGCTGATCAGGTTTTGTTGCACTGCGCAGTCAGTTGAACACTGAAGTATGCTTGCAGGAGGAAGAAGCAGAGTGAGAAGAGTGATAACTTCACCATTGTGATGATGGTCCAATAATTTATTGTTTAGTTAGAAAGGTGGGGGTGATTCAGTGGCTAAAAGGTATTGCTGCACTGCAATGGAGAAAACTATTTTCATTGACCTGGCAGGGGTGCCTATATCACAAGAATGACTGAAAACAAATACTGCTGCTATCATATGGAAGGTAAGACAGTTCACATATTTGTAGTTTTAACCTTGTTTGGCGGTTTGTGTGGGGTTCAGTTTTAAAGCAAGCAATATATATAATTTTATTGCTTTTTAATATATTTAAATTTTGTAATTCATTTTATTTTTTAAATTATTACTGTTCCATATAATTATTCATTAAGCTAATTCATGTCTTATTATACAGCTATGAGAAAAAGTTTGTGGATTGCTGCTTGAATGGCTTCTAAGATGTGATCGGATCTTCATCCAAAGGATGATAATGAAACAAATACAGCCTTATTCAACAAGCAACAATCACAAAATTTCCCATTACCATATGTTTATTGAATATATGATTTAAACAATCAAGGTCACTAAAAACCCTTTAGGATAATAACGAATATAACGTCTTGAAAAAAAAGGCAATTGGAGTTACTCTAATCAGTTCATCAGTTCATTCTAGTAATCATATAAAAATAACAATTTTAGATACCTGCTCTTTATTCCAGAATCTGTGACCCAATCAAAATACTGTAGATTTCAAAGGACCTTACTTTATATTTAGTGACGCTGCCCTTTAACCTCTCACTCACCCCTTTGAGTAAAGCCATCTGGTAAATGATTTCACTTTTTCCTGCGCTAGTGATCTTCATTGTGTTGACATGTGCAGAGTTTAACAGCCTTTGCATTAAAGAAGTCCTGGCTGGGTCCTCCTAATGTGCATGTATGCTGCACCTCCATCAATTGATATGCATGGAAGAGTCATGTTTTGATGGAGAGCCATTGATCCCAATGATCACAGGAACAGATAGGAAGGTATTTCATAGGGCAGGCTACACTTGGGAAGGTAAGAGGGGTTAATTAAAGGGCCACTTCACTGAACGTTTTCCTTTAAAGACTACTGCCAGTTTTAGGGGCTAAGGTGCATACATAAGAATAATTATACTTGTAAAGTCACCCAAGGTCCAGTAATGGATGACCTTCCAAACATACAAAATGAAAAAGCCCCAAAGAAAGGGATTGATGAAGGGTGACCAAAAATAATTTGTTTAAAATTATCATTACACATTAAAAATCAAAAGCACTTTACCCAGTATTTATACCAAAAAAAAATACATCATAATAATAATAATAATAATAATAAAACATATCATAATGATTGTTATATTTTAATATAAATATTGGATAAAGCTTTTTAAATTTTTCAGTATTGATGTATTTTGAACAAATTGCTCTAGGCCGCCCATGATCTACCCCTATTTTTTGGGCATTCGTCTTTTGGATGTTATTCCATAAAGAATTGCTGATGCTCGTCAGACTGCAAAGAATTATAAAATAATTTTTGTAGACTTGAGATTAGTCTCCAATCAGGAACACAATTTTCAGATGAAAAAGTCCATTAATACTCTTCAATGCTGTGGCATGATCTGAAGCAGATTACTTAATCGGAACACAGTTTTCAGATGAAAAAATACCATTAATACTCTTCAATGCTGTGGTATGATCTGAAGCAGATTACTTAATCAAGACGTCTCAAATATAGGAGCAGAAACAGATTCTTATACAGGAATTGGCCAAAATGCCTAACCCTGTGTAGTCCTGTAGGTAGAAAAAAAGCACCGGCTTGAGATTATTGTTTTTGGGTTTTTTTTTTAATAAATGAACTTGATTGTTTAAAGCAGGTTTTCTACTGGCATTGTGCTATTTGCAAGAGGCAGAAGAAGGTTTTTGTTAATAAAAACTACAACATTTTACTATTCTGTCTCCTTACTCATGTTTTGCTCTGCTTTGCTGTGCAGCAGTAATAATAAATCAGGTCTCACGTCTTTTTGTTAACCACTTCAAGTCCGGACACTTTCACCCCCTTCCAGTCCAGGCCAATTTTCAGCTTTCAGTGCTATCGCACTTTGAATGACAATTGCGCAGTCATGCAACACCCATATGAATTTTTTTGCATTTTCTTGAGACAGATAAAACTTTATTTTTAGTGGTATTTATTCACCACTGTGAGTTTTATTTTTTTGCTATATAAATGAAAAAGTCCAAACATTTTGAAAAAAAAAGCCTTTTTCTTATAAAATTTTGCAAATAAATAATCTTTCTCATAAATCTTGTCCAAAATGTATTCTTCTTTCTTTTTAGTAAAAAAAAAAAAAATAACCCAAATTAGTTTATAACCAAAAATTATAATTTTCAAAACATTATTTACATTTTTATTTTTATTTTTTTTATATTATTATTTATGGGTTTTTTTTTTAACATACTGTCACCCTAGCAGTACAGTGTCAGCACAGTGACACTGTACTACTTGTGGGGGGTGATGAAGAATTTTTTTTTTTTTTTACACTGATTGCTTTTACACCCATAAAGGCTGTAAAAGCAATAAGTTCTCCTTCTGTCTGGCTGCATTCTTGCAGCCATTAAGAAATACTGTGCGAGCTGTGATTGGTCACAGCTTGTCACATGATACAAGGCTGTTGTGAATAGCCTTGTACCATGTGATCTCTGTGATCATTCACAGATTTCACTAGTAGTAAGCAATGATGTCAGAAGTGACATCTTGCTTACTACTATTCATGTGATCATTGATTGGCCAATCAGTGATCACATGATCGGGACCTCACACAGAGGTCCCGAGAACGATCAGTGTTCCACTGTGTCCGGACATAGCAGGCACTG